CAATTTTATTTTGTTCCCGACAACTTACCGACATAAATTTACGACAAAAGAGTGAGAATATTGATTTATCGCAAAGTTCCGAGAATCTTCCGACAAGGATCATATGTTCTAGGAAATTGATCAGAAACCCGTCGTAAACTTTCCGAGGAGAGAAGTAGTCGGTAAATCTCATCGGCGTTGACGTTGATTTCTTGTAGTGTTATTAATCTATAGAAATTATTAATTTATCGAGTATTAATTTATAGAGGTTCTACTGTATACGGTAAGTCAAAGAAAGTTGGTGCAGTATAACCTCTATCCTACCTATGCTTCAAAACAAGTTTGGTCTCAAAACTCTACAAGATATAAGAAGATCACGAGAAAACTGAAGAGGAAACTCCATAAACACTCAAACGGTGTATCTTATTCATGCTCATTAAATATAAAAGCTAAACAAACAAGTGTTCTAGTCTGCAAAGTTGAATGTAAGATTAAATATATATGTTATCAAAAAAGTGTTGGTCTATATAGGTTTAGACTGGAGAGCATGTTGAGTTCGGTGGATCATTGCCAATTCTTGCGGATGTCGAAGGTGTAGTTGATCTCCAAGTAGCACTTATTATCGTCATCAATAAACTGAAATAAACAACAAACTAAATAAGTAATTTGAACATTTATTAACAAAGCAAATCTTAGTTGCCTTTGCAGAGAAAGCCTCAAACTCATCAAGTACACGAAAAACAAAGATGTGTTTTCCAATTTTTTTGTTCATGCATATGAAACATATACCTTAGTTCTTGCAGAATACGATCCTCTAGCGAAAATACCAGAAGGTGTTATTTCTTCAGGCATAACATGTTGGTATGGCTCAGCTTGAGGACTAAACGTCCCAAGCATTGCTTTGGTACTATCCACTGCTCCAAAAGAAAGAGAGACCAAAACATCAAAAGAGAACATTCAGAAACTTTTTTAGCACTACCAGAGAAATAAGATGAAAGACAAAAATACCCTTGACACTGGTTTTCCAGACAGTATTGTTATAGCGAAGGCCCGAAACGATATTGTTGGTAACACGAAAGTTAAAGACAAGAGTGTACTTGGATCCTTCCTTTATGGTGAACCAAGGACCTTTTGGGTTCGGTAGTCCATCGTCAGGTATCGTTAAGATCATCTCCTCTCTGTCTGGAGACCTAACTGTTAAGTCTAGTATCTTTACTACTGGATCTGGTGTCTCTGCATTTCATTTTAGGTTAATTGTGTGTCAGAATATAGTTATGCACTTTATTCCCGTATTTAGTTTGAACTGAGATTATAAGTATACGGTAAGTTAAAATGATCATCTGATTTTAACTAAATGCATGTGTAATGTGTTGTCCCTCGTGTACATTAAGATGATATCTGCTTCTAATCATTAGCATTGGCGGTTTTCAATATACACATAGTATTTATGTATATTGAGAACCCCCAATGCTAAAACTCCCCACTGATGATGCTTTTACAGCTACAATTAAATCATATATACCTCCGACATCTTCCAAATCCACGACGCCGATAAGCTGTTCCTTCCATCTCCTCAAGCTTTCATCATCCTAACAATTTTTCGCCAAAAATTTATGATATTTTTAAAAATATTTTTCTTGATAAATAGTAGTCTTAACACTAGTTCCATAGATAACTACGATTGAAATATTTAAGTGTACCATGTTCATACAATAATATACCAACCGTTATCCAACCATTATCTGTAAACTATTATAGTTTAAATCTTCTCCTATCAATAAATTGAAAAATAAGAGACCTTGTCTTTCTCGAGCTGTTCTTTGAGAGCGATCATGGGACCGAGTTGGGGCTTCTTCTCGTCGTCTTCTTCTTCATCTTCTGTCGGAGAGAAAGAGCTATCACTGTTCTTTCTGCTTAGTCCCATTTCTTTCTCTGATGTCTCTCCTGAAGCTTCTCCTCCTTTCTTCTCATCTTCCAAACCCATTATTGATTACTCCAACAATAAACAAAACAGACAAACAACACAAAAAAATCTCCTTCTGGTCTAATAAGATCTTAGATAATGATGTTTAACCGTTGGATTCGAGTAAAATGCAAAGATGGCTTTAGAGGAAAGAGAACAAAAGGGAGAGTTTTGGTTTGTTGAGGGAATGTTTATATTTGGAACTTGACGAAATGGTCGTGTGGTGATCCTATTATTTTGTAAATCTCACTCTGAATATCAAATTTGCTAATTTTGTACGGTTCTACATTGCAAGTATATTTGCATGGTTATAGATATTGAGGACGGTCTAATGCATGTTGGCTTGCACTGTGGAGAAATAGTTTAAACATAAACATTTTCGAAATAAGGGTAGTAGTAAATATGGCAGACAACCAGAAAAATATAGTATTTGTGATCTTCTAGGTTTCATTCAAATAGTTATATTTTGATCTTCAGTCCTGAAAATTTTAGATATCCGGCAATTCAGATACTCTGATTTTTAGATATTTTCAGATTAATAGATTTGATTCGTGAATTATATTTTACAATAGAAATAAAATAAAATAATAATATATATCACTAAACATCAAATAAATATCACATCTTAACATCATAATAAGATAAAAATAATATGATGAGATTTAAAACTAACATTTTAATGCAAATCATAAAACAAAATCAAATCATTTAACATTTGCGAGCCAAATAACAAAATTCATATGTTAACATTTAGATAACACAAAATAAAAACTAGATGTGTAAGACTAAAAAGAATTCAAAAAAAAATCAATAAGTAATAGACAAAGTTTATAATATAATATATATTTAAATATAATGACTTGTATATATTATTATATCACATAAACATATGGATCGGATCAGATATTTGGTTTTTCAAATTGTGAATGAATTTTTTATGAATATTAAATTTAGTATTTGTTTTGATCCGAAGCGAATATCCAAATTTTTTGAATCTAATAAAATAAATAACGGACTGAAACAAATTTTGGCGGATAAACTTTATTGGGCTCTTTTATCAGTTATATTGTCCTAAATGCAAGCACAGTAGCTGCCTTGTGAGATGGCAGCTTCGCAATCCCAATAATGTGATTGTGAAGGTATAAATTTCAACAGACGCATACACGTGGATTTTTTCTTCAGCATGAATCCAAATTTGAATAATCATACAGCAAAGATACTAATACAAATGACTAGGTTATGTATTAAGGTCTGCATACTGCATACACATAAATTCTTTTAATGGATGCAGTATTTATTCATTTCATTTTCTAAATCGTACAATGATTTGAGTTTTGGGGTCTTATGTGCAGCAACCAATGAAAAAAAGTTTGACAAATAAATTAGTTTACAAATTTGAATATTCGGGGTTTTCTCCGACCTCGGTGATCATTGGTCAGTGAGAAGGTTTGTTTTTGGGTAGTAGATGTTTAATTGGTGTTCAACGATGGGATAGCCACACGAAAGAAGATTTGAGGTCGATGTCTTGGGGCTGGCATTTTATCCATTTTGATTTGATTCGTTATTCGTTACGATTCGATCCGGAAATTCCAGATTTCTTTAAACTTTCGAAACAAATCAAATACTAAAAATCAATATCTATTAAAACTGAGATAAATCACAAATATTAAAATTTTGGTGAGTGGATAGCCACACGAAAGAAGATTTGAGGTCGATGTCTTGGGGCTGGCATTTATTCATTTTGATTTGATTCGTTATTCATTACGATTCGATCCAGAAATTCCAGACATCTTTAAACTTTCGAAAAAAAATCAAATACTAAAAATCAATATCTATTAAAACTGAGATAAATCACAAATATTAAAATTTTGGTAAGTGAATATCCGCTCCGATCCTGTAATATACAAATACATATATATATATACATTGATTATATTTAAAATTTTAAATATATAAAATTATATAATTTATTCTAACATATGATTTGACAAATTCTATTCACTTTTTGAATGAATTTAAAATTTTATTCAATTAAAACCTTGTTACATCAAGTGCTACTGTTTTTGTATTTACAAAAGCTTGAATTTAACTACTCTATGAGGAAATACTTCTCCTTCATATTCTTGTTTCCAGCCATTTGATTAAGCCTTCATCTAGATATTTTTTACCTTTTTCTTGCACTAAAAGCAGTGTTAATCGAATTAGTTTGTCAACCATCTTTGAGAGTATTTTTTTCACCCTTTAGTTGTTCGCCATGTCTTCTAGCATTACGCTTTCTCCATATATTTTGTGCCAGTGTTTGAAAAGCATAACGAATGAGGAAATTCTCCATAGGTACTCGTCTAGGATGAGATATAAAATCAAGGATTTCAGACCACTCTGCAGTGTAGGTATCCCCCATAATGCTTCGAACCATCTCTTTCCATACTCTCTCAGAATATCGACAGCTGAAAAATAAATGTTGATAGGTTTCTTCCACTTCTTAACACAGCACACAAACTCCATTTGGAGCACTGTTCCATTCTATACACATTATTATTTATATAAAAGTATTACATAAAAAGAAGAGAAAAAATTATGACAATTATGATTTTATTTCTTAAGTTTTGTATTATAATCATTGTTTAACTAAGTTTAAAAGTTTTACAAAATATGTAGATTCACTATTTCTTTAAACTTTTATTTTCTATATCATGAAAACAAATATTTTACAAAATAAATTTTTATCAAATTTTTAAAATTGTTTGTATTAATCAAAACGGATGAGATATCCATAAGTATTTGTAAATATCCGTAAATATTTATTTATCTTCTATATATCCGCTTTTCTGGATATTTGTATTTTTCTGAAGTAAAACAAATAAAAAATTAGATATCCGTAACATATGAAACAAATCCGGAAATCCGATCCGTGCCAACTCTACTTGTGAGGCGTGAGACATTGTTTGTTCCATGGCATTGGTGGCCCAATCGACGTGGCGTATTGCTATGCTACTAGTACACGACATGGAAAGACATTGTTTGTTCGATTGCTTCTCTTTTTCAGTTTCACCACTTTTTATTTAGATCTGCCGAGATTTATATACTTTTCCAGTGACATGTTTTTACAGGCTTGGTTAATAAATAGTAATATTAATTAACAAAAATCTGCAATGATCAAAATTCTTGTGAATGAATTAACTCTTAATTAGGCACATGCTTTGTTTAGCTAATTTAGTCATTAACACTAATGTTTAGCTAGACGATAAAACAAAATAAAATAAAACCAATTTCAAAATTAATTAGCTAGAAAAAAAAAATAGTTAGATAAATCTTTTTTTTTTGTGTGTAGCTAACTCTATTTTCTTATATAATAGACGCTTCCATTACTTCTCGATGACTTACTTTTTTTGGAACTTACTTTACATCTCTAAATTGAGTATCAGTTTAAAGGTTTTATTTTGATGGGCAACGCAAGAGATTAGTTTTGTGTCATGGACCCATGTGCAACTTTTTTGGGGGAGAGATGATCTATGCCATTTCATAGCATTATTATCAGTCGGTCAGTCCGCTTATCCCGTTGTATTGTTGCCGACCTTCCCGGATGTAAAAGGAAAAGGAAAAACTTTGCTTTAAGGCGTCATCGGTCTGGAACAAACTAACAAAGGATTCAGAATCATGTCATCAACATTTGTGCATGTGCATATCGATGAGTCTATTGTAAAGTGGTAGATATTAATCAAATGAATTATTTTTCTACAGGGACCATTTTAGCTGCCAAATTTGATGTGGATGATGCAAAAATACGACTTTGCTTTAGACAGAGAAATCATAACTAACAACAAAGAGAAGTAGAGACCCCCTTTCCAGAAGTATTTATAATTTATACTAATATAGTATTTCTAACGTCTACAAATTTATCTAATTTCAAAATAATATAGATTATGCACACAAGAAAATTCAAGATAAAGTTTTTTTAAGAAAAAAAAAACAAAAAACTCAAGTTAAAGTCAAGTTCTTGTTATGAATGGTGTCAGTATTCTTTAAAAATAGTTATTGGATTTAATGCTTCAAATAGTAAATAGTAGTACCATTTTATAAATAATACTCATAGGTAAGGAGGCAAAGACCACTATGCTGGCATTGTACGTTCGACTCATAGGTTTTGCGTAAGACCACTTTTTTTTTTGGTTAAAAGCTTTTGGCTATAGCCTATAGACAATAGTGTCTTTTTTTTTTGAACAAAGACAATAGTGTCTTTATATCATCCTTTTCTTTACAGTGTTTTGACATCATCCAAATCTAGGATATTCGCCGACAATAATATATTCTCTTGTAACACAATACTGTCTTCAGTTTTCAAAAACATAGCTTGAAATCATCGTTATACTCGAGTAACTCGACTGTTATGTTGAAATTTAGTTAATAATTTCCAAAATTATCAATTAACATTATAATTTCACTATTTACTTATATTATATTAATCGTATCAATCACAATAACACCGTTTCATACAACAACCATAAGTAAGTTCTAGAGAATGTTGATAATCTGCTTACATATCGTTTGTCAAGATTATCAATTTAAAAATCTTCAAAATAGATATACAATCAGCTTAGCATTAATAAACAATTTATAGATCAGATCCTATCAAGAAAGAAAATAAAATAAAATAAAAGAAAGATTCGATCTTTTTTCTTGAGTTTAGCTGCGGTGGCCAAACTATTTGCTGACGAAGAGATTCTCCCCAGATGGGACCAACATGAACATTTAATTATGGTACCAGTCTTAACATGTGGCCGACCAATAAATAGGTGACAGGTGGTAAAGTTTTGACCGCTGATCTAAAATAGTGCTTAAATTAACGATAAAGAATTAACACACTTTCAAGGATTACGAGACAATTTAATTATGCTTAGATTGTCCGACTTTAGGATTACACATATTCAAGGCATGCCCGCATGGGGTCGTTTCACATAATTCCGATGCCAAAAGTGAATTATTTTGAACTTTCGTTTTTAGATCTTAAATAATAATATGAA